ACAAAAAAAAAAAAAAAAAAAAAAAGAAAGTGAGAGAGAGGAGATTCATCTCCCCAAGATAAGGGAGGGGGCCAAAGCTAGGAAATATGGCAACCAAAGCTCAAATAGCCACGTGGACACATCAGAGTTTAACAAAGCAGTGGCCAATCTTCCTTTAAAATACCCATTTACTTGTTTACAAGTTGAAGCTGAGTTCATACAGGACTCCCTTTCCTACTGCAACAGTTATTGCTGATTAAAATCTGTCCTTACCAGGCCGGGCTTGGTAACTCAAGCCTTTAATCCCAGCACTTTGGGAGGCTGAGGTGAGAGGATTGCCTGAGTGCAGGGGTTCGAGACCAGTTGGGCAACTTGGTGAAACCTCGTCTCTACAATAAATCAAAAGCTGAGGACGCTGGACCCAGGGAGGAAGAGCCTGTTGCTATTAGAATGTCTGTGTTAGAAGGCTGAGGTGGAAGGATCGTCAGGTGACGCTGGGGTGTCCGTGAGTGTGTCACTGCACTCCAGCCTGGGTGACAGAGTGAGACTTCAACTCAAAAAAAAAAAAAAAGAACGTCTGTGTTTTGCATGATAATCTGAAGTGTGACTTCTGGACCTGGGTGCAGAGTGGAAACTCCAGAGTGTGTTTCATAAACACCCACCCCAGGGCTCCAGAGTCAGAACTGTCAGCCGGAGCCCTGGATTCCATGGCTAAGTAATTGCAGGTAATTCCGATGCCACCATGTACGGGCTGATGTTTGGTTACTACTGGCTCCTCCCACCAGCTGGGCGAGTAGGTGTATTATTCTCGTATCATTCTCACTTTATCAGTGAACAAAATGAGCCTTGAAGAAGTGACTTTTCCAAAGTTCCAGGCTAGGAGCTAGGGACAAAGGTCTCCTGACTCCTGGTCACCAGGTACTGGCCATATAAGGAAACACTTTGTCCCCTGCGCTGCCCGGTACACCCTCCCAGATGGAGAGGCTGCACATTGTATTTCAGTGGCTTTCATGACTTAGGGCAGTAGAAAGGGCTTGGGTTATAGAGCTGGACCGACCTGGGTGAAATCGCCCCTGACCCTGAGTAGTAAGATAAGATCCCTCAACATAGAGATGACGTGGGTGAGGTGACTCCCACAGTACAATCACAAAACGCTGATTTCCCTCCTAATATGTTAGGAGCTGGCAACATCCAGCATGGGCATTGAACGTGTATCTTATTAGTTTCAAGACAGACGGGTGAGAAAGGTATCATTCGATTCCCGTTAAAGAGAATAAAACAGACCCCTAGAGAGGTTAAGTAACCTCAAAGTGGGGTAGCAGGAATTTGAACCCAGGGATCTCAGTCCCGTCTCTTAAGGGTCACTGGACAAAAGACATAAATTTTGACTGGGCTCAGTGGCTCAGCCTGTCATCCCAGCACCTTGGGAGACTGAAGCGAGTGGATTGCCTGAGCCCCGCGGGTTCAAGACCAGCCCGGGCAACTTGGCAAGACCTTGTCTCTACAATAAATAAAAAATTAGCCGAGAGTGGTAGCACACGCCTGTAGTTCCAGCTACTTGGAAGGCTGAGGCAGAAGGATTGCTGGAGCCCAGCAGGTTGATGCTGGGGTGGCTATGAGCATGCCACTGCACTCCAACCCGGGCAACAGAGTGAGACTCCAACTCAAGGATAAAAAAAAAAAAGACATAAATTTTGCTCCAGAATTTGCTCATTTCAGCCTAACTTTCCCTATCCTCAGTAAAGGTGAGTCTTACATCAAGAAGGGTTTAACAAAAGCTCCCCTCCCAGGGTGCAGTGGTTCATGCCTATAATCCCAGCACTTTGGAAGGCTGAGGTAAGAGGATTGCCTGAGCTCAGAAATCTGAGACGGAGACTTTGTCTTTACAAAAAAAAAAAGACCCCCTCCTGCATCTTCAAACAGGTCAGCTCCTGCCAACCTCCTCACCCCCATCCCTCCCACCGGGCATGCAAGAAACAAGTGAGCCAAGGTCAGTTCCCCAGGAGTAACAGAGTCCATGAAAAACACTGCAAGTTACTATCAGACAATGTTGTTTATTATTTCACACAAAAGTTAGAGACCAAGGCCACAGTGGTTAAACAGCTCCCTTCCCTACCCACCCCCCCCACCCCCTAAAAACCACCCCAACCCTGCTATAAAAGCAACAGAACACAACAAAAATACCAAGTTCAGGCTGAGCCAGGAACAAAGCTTGGCTCTAACAAAAATAAGACAGAAACACAAGACACAACATATCTGTGTGTTTATATAAAAATTGCCACGGCCCACAGGGAAAGTGGTCACGGTCATGTCGAGAAGGATTCTTCAAATCCAGGGCGTTTGGAGGTTCGGGACAGCTGCTGCTTCTGGCCACATCTTCTGGGCTCTGCTGGTGCTGAGGGCAGGGCTGGCCTCGTGCCCACCTTACAGTTCAGGCCGTGGGCTGGACGTGCTTTTGATTGGGAGGAGCCCCAGGCTCCTTCCCCCTTTCCAGAGAGAGGGCTGGGGGCCCCCTTGCCCAGGATGAGGAAGCCAGTCAAGAGATGTCCCCTCTCCAGAAAGAAGGCCCACCACTGGACAGAGTTCTTGGCCCTGGGAGCCAGCACATGTGCATTCACATGGCATAAAGTCCCACGGCAACGGTGGCCACCAGGAAGCTGAGCGTGAGGACCCATCGGAGGAGTGGAGCCCGGGAGAGGACACTGGGCTGGGGTTTCCCTCTGGGAGTCTCCAAGGAGGCGGAGTCTGAAAGAGAAAAGGGGCCGAGGTCAGTGGGTGTGGGTGTCTCATGTCGCAGAAGAGGCACATCAGTGTCTCCGGTACCATCCCTGGCCCATGCCAGGATTCTGCTAGAGCACACACAGTGTCCCTCTAGCCACTGCTTGAATACCTTCAAAGACGGGGAGTTCACTACTCCTCCAAGCTGTCTGTTCTTCCATGCTCAGCGGGGCCACATGTGAGAATGTTCATGGGCCCTGGGCATGTTTTTCAGACTTTTGCCTGCTACCTGAAAGGCTCTCTCCTTAAGGTGGCTGTAAACCCTCATTTCAAACTTCTTTTTTTCTTTTTGAGTTGGAGTTTCACTCTGTTGCCCAGGCTGGAGGGAAGTGGCATGCTCATGACCACCGCAGCCTCAGCCTGCTGGGCTCAGGAGATCCTTCCACCTCAGCTTTCCAAGTACCTGGAACCACAGGCATGCACCACCATGCCCAGCTAATTTTCTGATTTAATGTAGAGACAAGGTCTTGCCATGTTGCTCAGGCGGTCTTGAACCCCTGGGCTCAGGCAATCCTCTTGCCTCCACCTCCCAAAGTGATAGGGTTACAGATGTGTGCCACTATATCTGGTTCTTATACATTTTTGAGTCAGTCTTACGCTGTTGCCCAGGCTGGAGTGCAGTAGCACATTCACAGTTTACTGCAGCCTCCACCTCAGCCTCCACCTCCTGGGCTCAGGTGATCCTCCCACCTCAGCCCCTCGAGTCACTACAGGCGTGCACCACCATGCCCAGTTAATTTTTTTTTTTTTTTTTTGTAGAGCCATGGTGTTGCTATGCTGCTCACGCTGGTCTCAAACTCCTGGGCTCAAGCAATCCTCTCACCTTGGCCTCCCTAAGTGCTGAGATTACAAGGGTGAGCAACTATGCCTGGCCTCTTGTACATTTTCTAAGAATGGCGGTCACAGGGCAGGAACTAGAAAGCAGGACTTCTGAGGTCAAAATTCAAATTTAGTCCCATCCCAGTCATTGAGAGGCCAGAGCCAGCCGCACAACGTAGGCAGGCCATCGGCCACCACCCCAGGCACAGAGTGGGCATCCGCAAGGTCTATATAGAAGCAGGACAGAGGCCAGGGCAGGCCTCTCGAGCCAGACCAGCCACATTTGAATCCCAGCTGCATCCTGGGCAGTGAAGGAAAGAGAGCGCAAGAAATCTACAAGGAGGGAAAACTGCAAGCCACATGGGTCGAAGTGGCACCGGAGGGAAGGCCTAACCTGGCAGGCCTAACCTCCGCCCCCGCGTCCCTTGCAAAGCCACACCCCCTCCCACGGCATATTGGGCTTGGTAAAGGCACATTTTGTGGAGCACTCTGGCCTTTCTGGAATTTCCCGGATATTCTCACAACAGTCACACCCTCTGTTGCTCTCTGACACATATGAGGGGAGGACTGGGCACAAAAGGACTCAGGAGGGACGTGTCTTCTCATGGTGGTGAACAGCTGGTAAAGATCCTCCAACTCCCCAGCCCACACGGGGTCCCCTCAGGAATGCTTAAAAGGGCCTAAAGGGAGTCTAAGTTAAGCTGCTCCTGACTCCCAAAGGTTCCTTCCTGTGTACTTTTGATCTAATGAACTAGTTCCACCTTCCTGGATTTTCCAGGTGGGGAAACTGAGATATAAAGAAGTCTCAGCCGGGCTCGGAGGCTCAGACTGTAATCCCGCACCTTTGGGAGGCTGAGGTGAGTGCACTGCCTGAGCCCGCGGGTTCGAGACCCGCCTGGACAACATGGTGAGACCTCATCTCTACAATAAATCAAAAAATTAGCCGGGTGTGGTAGTGCACTCCTGTAGTTCCAGCTACTTGGAAAGCTGAGGTGGAAGGATCGCCAGAGCCCAGCAGGTCAAGGCTGCGGTGGCCGGGAGCAGCCATTGCACTCCAGTCTGGGTGATAGAATGAGACTCCAACTCGAAAAAAAAAAGTCTCATGGCCGGGCTCGGTGGCTCAGCCTGTAATCCCGCGCTTTGGGAGGCCGAGGTGAGTGAGACCGCGTGTTTGAGACCCGCCCAGGCAACTTGGCAAGATCTCGTCTCTACAATAAATCAAAAAATTAGCCGGGCGTGATAGTGCGCGCCTGTAGTTCCAGCTACGTGGAAGGCTGAGGCAGAAGGATCGCCAGAGTCCAGCGAGTCGAGGCTGCGGTGGCCAGAAGCATGACACTGCACTCCAGAGTCTGGGTGACGGAGTGAGACTCCAACTCAAAATTAAAAAAAAAAAAGAAGTCTCATAATTTGCCCAGAGCCACACACTGAAGATTGACCCTATGCCTTCTGGACTATACTCCACTTCTCACATAAAAATATTCAGGCCGGGCACAGTGGCTCACGCCTATAATCCCAGCACTCTGGGAGTCCGAAGAGGGAGGATCACTTGAGCCTAGGAGTTCGAGATCAGCCTAGGCAACATAGTAAGACTTCATCTCTATAAAAATAAAAAATAAAAAAATTAGCCAGGCGTGGTGGTGTATGTCTGTAGTTCCAGCTACTTGGGAGGCTGAGGCAGGCGGATCACGTGAGCCCAGGAGGTCGAGGGTGCAATGAGCCATGGTCGTACCACTGCACTCCAGTCTGAGTGACTGACTCAAAAAATAAAAATAAAAACATTCAGAAGACAGAGAGTAGAGACACCAGAGACAGTCAGCCAGGCCATGTCCCCCTTCCAACAGGAGCCCGGAGCAATGCCTCTCCCTGGAAGCCCTCACCTTGCACCCTGCTGCTGGTACGCTGGCGAAGCCCTGGTGCCTGCGATGGGCTCTGGTCCTTGGCATCCTGGGTCAGCAGCTCCTGCAACTCCTCAAAGAGCTGAAAGACAAAAGACACACGTACCCATCTCAGTGAGAGTTGTTGCTAGATCCAGCTGAAAGCAAGACGAAGTTTCGTCATGAAATATTTTGGAAATAACAAAATCCTAAGAAAAATATTGAACATTCACCTCCCTTTCACCCACCTCAAGAGATAAAATGATCCGAGCAGACGCCCCTGCCCACGCCTGCCCTCCCCAGTGGAAATGCTGTCCTGGATTTAGAGTTCACAGGGCCATTCTTGAGACAATATGAAGTGCCATCCCCGCAGAGGCACTCCTTGCAGATACACTCTCTCAATTGTGCCCAGGCGAGATTCACCCGCGGCAAGTAAGCTGTGCTGTGTGGCACTGATGACCCAGGTTCTGCGGTGAGGGTGCTGCTACTCCCGGGGGTCAAGTGCTTTGCCTGATTTGCCTGAGACCCTGGCCCAGAGGTCAGGCACCAAGCGCCTCCCATGGGTTCTGACTCCAGATCCCTTTTGACTGCCCTTCTCTGAGAGACACGGATTTTCTTGGAGGACTGATTGGGTTGGGGGGCGGAAGGGTTGGGTTGCTCTGTAACAGGGGCCAGGACCAATCCCTTCCGTGATCCCAGGCTGGGGGCAGGGAACCAGGAGGGCAGGAGCCTGAGTTCAAGCCCCAGGGGGCCTGCAAGGGGTGGGGAGAGCCAGGACTCTAGGACATCAGCTTAGAAGGATCCCAGCCCTCCACCCCTGCCCGAGAACTCATCCTTCAAGGCCTTGCTCAAACCCCACCTTCCCCCTGGATTGGAGGCACTTGTAGGGAGATGTAAACTGCCTCCCAGGCTGGGCTGAGAGTCCCTGGAAGGCAGAGGCCATGTCTTGGGCACCTGTAACCCTGGCCATGTCAACCTGGTGACACCCAGGAACACATATACAACCAAGTGCCACAGCCAGTCATCATAGAGTGCTACAACTGTGCTTCTCAGCCCCCAAATGACAGTAGCTAGTGTTCAAGGGCTTCCACTGTGCCAGGCACTGCTGGAGGGGCTTTACTGATGTACACTCACTCAGTGCTCACAAGTCTAAGAAGTAGGGACTATTGTTTTGTCTTGTTTTGTTTGAGAGGGTCTCACTCTATTGCCAAGACTGGAGTACAGTGTAAGAATCACGGCTCAAGCCGGGCTCGGTGGCTCAGCCTGTAATCCCACGCCTTTGGGAGGCTGAGGTGAGTAGACTGCCTGAGCCCGTGGGTTCGAGACCCGCCTGGACAACTGGGCGAGACCTCATCTCTACAATAAATCAAAATGAGCCAGGCGTGGTAGCGCACGCCTGTAGTTCTAGCCACTTGGAAGGCTGAGTGGAAGGATCACCGGAGCCCAGCAGGTTGAGGCAGCAGTGGCCGGGAGCGGCCACTGCCCTCCAGTCTGGGTGACAGAGTGAGACTCCAACTCAAAAAAAAAAGAATCATGGCTCACTTACAGCCTCAACTTCCTGGCCTCAGCCTCCCGATGAGCTGAGAGTACAGGGGTGTGCCACCACATTCAACTCTTGTGTTTTGCTCTTTTGCAGAGACGAGGTCTCCCTCTGTTGCCCAGGATGGTAGGGACTATTACTATCCCATTTTATAGATGGGCAGACTGAGATGAAGCAAGATTAAGGCATTTGCCCATGATCACCCAGCTAGTAAGCGGCAGACCTGGAACTCTGGCTCCCATTTAACCATGACCCCCGGTCCCCCAGCCTCCACAAGAGAAGGGTCCTTTCAGGAACAGCCAGGGCAGGCAGAGGCTGCTTGAGACTGCCACCCCTCACCTGGATGTTGAGCAAGAATGCGGTCTTGGCCTCCTCGATGACCCGCTGCTGGACTTCGGGGCTCATCTCCAGAGAGTTCATGCGGGAGCGGTAGAGCTGCTTGAACTTGGTGGCACTGGCGACGTTAGGGAAGGTGAAGAAGGCCAGGCCCTCGCCAGAGCTGGGCAGGCCCAGGGCCTTCTGGGCGATCTTCTTGAGCACCTGGCCCCCGGAGAGGTCGCCCAGGTAGCGGGTATAGGCATGGGCCACCAGCAGCTCAGGCTCCAGGCGCCCCACCTCATGCAGCCGCCGCACATAGCGCTGCGTGGCGGGCGTGTAGGGGATGGCCTCCTCCCAGCCAGGCCCGAACCAGAAGGCCATGTCCTGCTCCAGGGCAGCCCGGCGGTGTAGCTCTTCCGGGAAGTAGAGGGGCGCGTAGACGGGGTTCTCCCTGTTGCGCTCAATCTCCTCCTCCAGGGCCACGTACACGTGGTACAGAGAGGCCATCACCAGCTGAGGAAGAGCCAGAAGATCAGGGATGGCCTGGTGGCGACCGCCACCACCACCCACCCCTCCACTGCTGCCCAGGAATGCCCTCATGGCTTCTCAGCGGGCCTCTGCCTCCTGCTGCCCCAGTCCTCTCTACACAGCAGGCAAAGGGATTTTTTTTTTGTTTTGAGTTGGAGTCTCACTCTGTCGCCCAGACTGGAGTACAGTGGCCGCTCCCGGCCACCGCAGCCTCGACCTGCTGGGCTCAGGCAATCGTTCCGCCTCAGCCTTCCAAGGAGCTGAACCAAAGACATGCACCATCATACCTGGCTAATTTTTTGATTTATCGTAGAGACGAGGTCTTGCCACGTTGTTTAGGCTGGTCTCGAATCCCTGAGCTCAGGCAATCAATCCTCTTGCCTCCACTTCTCAAAGTGCTGGGATTACAGGTGTGAGCCACCATGCCCTGCCTATTATTTTAATATTTTGATTTTTTTCTAGGGACAAGGTCTCACTATGTTGCTCAGGCTCATCTTAAACTCCTGGGCTCAAGCAATTCTCCCGCCTCAGCCTTCCAAAGTGCTGGGATTACGAGTATGACCACCGCACCTGGCCGGATGGAGGGATTTTTTCACAAGAGAAAAAATACAAGCATGCACTTTCTCAGCTTAAAAACCTTTTACCCCACTGGGGAAAACATGTGGCCTAATTTAATGCTCATAAAAATCCAACAAAGAGACAGATGTGGTGGCTCACGCCTGTAATCCCAGCACTTTGGGAGGCTGAGGTGAGAGGATTGTCTGAGGTCAGGAGTTCAAGACCAGCCTGGGCAACTTGGCAACGCTTCATCTCTACAATAAATAAAAAAATTAGCCGGGTGTGGTGGCATGTGCCTGTAGTTCCAGCTACTCGGAAGGCTGAGGCGGAAGGATCGCCTGAGACCAGCAGGTCAAGGCTGCAGTGGCCGTGAGCGTGCCACTCAGTGTACTCCAGCCTGGGCAACAGAGTAAGACTCCAACTCAAAACAACAACAACAAATTCAACAAAGGAAATGCTGTTCCTGTTTTACAGAAAAGGAAACTAAGGCTCAGAGAGGGGGTATGAGACACTGAGGTCACACAGTTGGTGAGAAATGAAATCGGCTGAAGATCAGGAGTTGCTAGGGAGCCATCACGGCTCTGGAGCAGGGGAATACCTGACATGAAAGTGCTTCAAGCTGGGCTCGGTGGCTCAGCCTGTAATCCCGCGCCTTGGGAGGCTGAGGTGAGTGGATTGCCTGAGCCTGCGGGTTCGAGAC